ATATATATATATATACAAATATAAGAAGAATAAAGTAATCGAAAACTAAGAATTAAAATTTAGAATTATTCAAGAAATTTTAAATTTCTGGAAATTAGAGTTCTTTTTAAATTAATTTTTACTTTAACAATATCCCAAGTTTTCGATCAAATTTTTAATATATTTCTTTTTTTTTTTGTTTTAGAATCTTTAGACATTCATACATCATTACAAGAGAAACGTGATAAAACAATACACTCGAGACAGATGTCTACCCTGTTCCATCCCTCGTTCCTTTTTATTTCTCTTCTCGACCGTTCCATAACGCTTCCCTTTTTCGGGACACGCCGGAAGCCGGTGTAGCTTGAGTGACAAGCTTCCGGTTTCCGTTTCCGAGCAGCCATCTTGTTACCGGTTTAGATTTCCTGAGGGCGTCCTGTCGAACTTGGATGGGGACTAAGATTCGACCTCTGTCGAGAACTTTTCATTCTTTCGTTGCAAAATTACGATCCACTCGAATTTACATTATCCAATTTAAAGAAGAAACTAAGTTCTGTTTCACGAAATTGAATTGGTCAAATTGTTATGTCATCAAATTTAGGATTCTGCTTCAAGATCTTTTAAATTTAAGTCGTCATATTGTAAAAATTTTCAAAATTGTCAGTTCTTAGATTCTTCTTTTTTTTTTTTAGAAATAGGATCTTTTTGTTTAGAACAGTTTGATATAATTGTAAGAAAAGAACGATCTCTCAAATAATATAAAATATGATTCAAAGTAGAATTTATACGTAAAGAAACTTGTTCGAGCGAATTTTTTTTAAACAAATTTATAATAAAAATAGTAATATTCGATTTCGTTGAAAAGTATCGTGTTATTGTGTTACAAATTAACGTGAAGTACAGTATCATGATAATTCGATAAATAGATACGTGATCGTTGATCGATTATTGATTTTGTTGAGAAAAACGTCATGGAATCTGATTGGCTGATTTCTGATCGATCGATAATTTCAATCGCGTGAAAAAGAAAATGATAAAGATACTTACAAATCGGACAGTGTATTTTGCCCTATTGTATCGTACATTTTCAAAACATCCGATCTTTGGAATCTAAATTTATAGGATAATTTAATTAAACTTCGAAGTGATAAAAAAAAATCACCTTTCGCATGAAAATTTAATTAACTTTCTTAATATAACCTTAACAACATACTTCTTTCGAAAAATCAAAATCAATTTTCAACCTACATATACGACAAAATTTTAAATAATACCGAATAATATTCTTCAAAAAACATTCGATCAACTTCCTTTAAATTTAATTACAATTCTTCGAGAATCATCTTCTTCCAACACGAAGAGGATCAGAATCAATTTCTACCTCGACAACTCGAGGTTGACCAACGAGGACTTTCGTTCCAGTTTTCGAAATTTCAACCTCATCCCTATCCCCACGATCCCTTTCCCTTGGCCTCGGTTATCTTCCCCGTCCGAGAGAGAGATGACGTAGCGAAGTAAATGGAGTGGACAGCGGGCAGCATATGCTTTGTGCCCTGTCCTCCTCCGTACGGTACAGAAAACCACCCTACATAGGAATATTCCGCGGTGGTGTGCGCGAAATGTCGGTGCGTCGAACCGGAAGCGCGAGATAACATTGAACCGGCCATGATTTATACGACCGACTCTGATCCATAGAGATTTGGACGGCAGACGAGAGTTTCAGAGCCAAGAGATTCTTCTCTCGATTCTCTCCCGCCGGTGCAAGAAGCGAGTCCTGATTTCCGGTTCATCTTCGCGTCTTCGAGAGCGAAGACGATCCGCCATTCGAAAATTTGTGAATTTGAGAATTTGGTAAGCCGAACGACAAAGTGTTGTTTAATATTTTAGTTGTTGAATGAATAATTGATAACGAATATAAGGTGATTTTGATTTTTCTTTTTTTTTTTTTTAGGGATGATATTCCTCGTTCGAAGTTAAGTTATCTTATCTATTGTCTTGTTTATTAAATAATTTTTCAATCTGATATTGCATATCTGTTACAAGTGTTTGATATTTATTTCAAGTTTTCCATTATGTTGGAAAATTATTAAGAATCGAATGATGTTTGAGAATAACGTGATAATGATAATTCGATGCACGATGCTCAAGATTTCTGTATTTCAATTGTAATGCATTTTAATTTCTTTACTTCTTTATAATATTATAATATTTATTCCATACCAATATCAAACACCAATCTGATATTAATATATTTTACTCCGTGAAAGAGTGTTCTTCGAGATTTAACGAAGAAATAAAATTTCAGGATCTTAACAAAAAAAAATATCCAAATTCGACCTAATTCGACCTAAATTTTTAAAAATTCCCTTCCCAATGGCCTCGATTGAATCGTTCATCGCCATAAATGACCGAGCTAAATGACCTAATCTCACGAACTCAGCATTTTCGAAGGCCAAAACATCCGTAACTACTCAAACTAATACCGGCCATCTCCTAAACCCTAAGAAGAAACGAAGAGAAAAGAAAAAAAGAAACATAGAAAAACGTCACTTGGTCCCCAATCAATGG